AAGTGGGCGGGGTGAACAGCTGCAGCGCGGGGCCCTCTTGGCGCGGGGCCCAATTCAGCCGAATCGGCTGAATCGGCCTAAAGCCGGCCCTGCTCCCCCCCCCGACTCCTTCCCCCCAGCAACCGTGAGTGAAATTAACAAGGATGCCAGAAACCGCTCCTAACCCTGGGGGTGTAGGGAACAGCTGAGTTTAAACCTTTTTTATGCAGGGGGCAGGCTTCTCCCTCCCTCAGCCAGTCTCCTTTTCTTACCAGTCCTGCGTACTGGCCCGTACCGGCTTACTTTCACCTCTGCCCCCTGCTATCCCATCCCCATTCAGACAGTCCCAGTAAAACTAGGCGACATCCCCAGGTCTGTCTGCCCCGCTCCCTACTGCATCACACAGCAAAAAAGGGATGTTGTCTTAGAATAACATCTGATGTATAAGGCCCTCACAGGAACAAACAAATGAACTCTATAAAGCATTCAGACCAGTTTCTAAATTAAGGGCAGGCAGGTTCAAAATCAGGTGTGTGCTGTGTTGCATATATATCATGAAATGCTGATATCTAACACATGGACAAACACCTGGTGCAAATGCGTAGATCAGGCATTTGCACATGCCAGTCAGGCACCTAATCTGTGCATGCATCTTGGATATTTGTACATATAAGTCAAGCATGTGAATTTATGCACATGGTTGTTTAACTGAAAATTAGGACCTAAATCATTTTCTGACAACAGGACTGGTTCCTTAAGCGGAAGCTGCAATAAATGCTAACTTTAAAAAAAATGCATTCATTTTTCAGAAATGTTCTCCATTTCTCCCTCATTCTACAGGTCAAGTGCAATACTTGCACTTAAATGAACTTTTCATTCTGCTGCAAATTACAATACGTACAGATTTTCCTTCAATTGAGGTAAGGAAAAATTTGCATTCACATATATAGACAATTTCCAGTCTGACATATATCAAATTAGTACTAGGATACTAGTGGGTTACATATTGGCTAATAAAGTCAGTAAATTCCTCAGAAAACATGCAGTCCACTTCCACACTATGGAACTCCAGTACTAGACTGGTATAATGGGATGGAGGACTAGGATCATGGGGAAATTGCTATGGGGAAACTGAGGCAGAGAGAAATGACATAACTTGCTCAAGATCACACAGCAGGTCAGTGCCAGAGCAGGGAGTTAAACTGAGATCTCCTGACTTCTGTGCAATATCCTATCCACTGCATCATGAGCATGAAGGTTAATATGGTCAGCATAGATGTTTCAGCCTCTCCTGTCTTAGTCTGATCCCCAGTCACTTCCAGTTTCAGTACTGTTCATGCTTGCTAAAATGGATTCCTAGGCCAGGAAAGCCAAAAATGAGTATGCCAAAGGCTATTCTTGCATTGCTTTCCTTTTCCCAGGGCAAGATATTACTACTTACTGATCCTGCAGGATGGGCTGGTATAAACAAAAATACACGGAGGAAATCAGCATAAGGAAATTGTAGTATTTTTATGTATTACTTGGCTTTCCCCAGGGATTTTCAAAACTAGAAATGACAAAGTAATGAGAGGATTAATAACAACGATACAGTGGTTGCCATTAAAAAGACAATATTTACCCAGAGTTACCACTGCACTGTGTAACAAAGCATGAGCCTGGGGGCTCTTGTCCCAGTGCACCTGTTATGGCCCTTAGGAGCCTGGAAGCTGTGGTTGGTCATGTGCCTATCCCTAGATATGTGCTCTATAGGAAAAAACTTCCTGTCTCTTAGGCAAGGGAACAGAAAGGAGACACACTGGGTCAGGGATGGGGCAAGGGAACAGAAAGGAGACACACTGGGTCAGGGATGGGGCAAGGGAACAGAAAGGAGACACACTGGGTCAGGGATGGGGCTGTCTGCACCTGTCCTGAAGTCATAAGAGGGAGCAGGAGCTGGCTTGGGGGGAGCCTCAATTGGGGAGGGCTGCAAAGCCCTGGAAGAAGAGCGGCAAGGTTTGTTGAGCACTGGAGACACAGGCTAAGTCAGGATCCTGAGAGGTGGTGAAATGGTCTGAATTACTTTGTTTTGATTGGATCTTTGCTTCTAAGTTAATAAAGGCAAGTCCTGAGAAAAGGACCTGGAACTGTGTTGTTTGAAGCACAATTTCCCGTTCCCCATTGGTGGAAAGTTTACAGGGTATTTCCCTAGATTTAGAAAGAGAAATAACTGCACTGTCTCAGATACCCTGCACAGCAGCTTTGGCTGATTCTAGGGGTGGCCACTGCACTTTGTACTTTTTTAACTCCTCACGCTGGAGAATCTCAAAACATTTTACTGACAAGCTGCCCGGTTAAAAATGGGACCAACGCAAAACAATGGATTTGAACCCTCCATGTTTGGTTTGAGGAGGGATGGGGTAGGGTGTGCTGATAAAGTGGGACCAGGCTGCTCTGAATTAGCATATGCAAAATAAAACTATAGCTGACTAATTCTTTACATATTTTCTCCCTGAGGACTCCTTACTTGTGTAAGAATTTAAGGGGCAGGATCCCAAATGGCTCTGGTCCATCTCCACTCGTGACTCTGCTCAGAGGTGGAGGGTCACATGGTCAGCTATGGCTATGGAATTCACAGCCTGGGTCTGGTGGGGAGAGTGCAAGGAGATAGAAAGCTCACCTTTGGGCTGCTCCCCACATGTGATGCTGCCATGCGGTGTGTAGGGCTGGTCCCTGGGTGTAAGTCAGAGCAGCCTAATGTCTGAGGAGGACAAGGAATGGCAGATGGGGCCATAACTGCTTTCCTCTGGCGATGTCCCCCTACACAAATTGAGGTGTGGCGGGCCAGTGCATTACTACCTCCACACCACTAGGGGGTTCCCAACACTGACTGCTCCTCTTTGAGGCTGGATATGCAGGTTCTATCCCTAGCATCCAGTGGTGGTGCAATGCAAAGAGGCTGTGCTGGGTCTTCAGGATGTGGCCCACGATCCGTTGTGTTGGCATTGTTGTTTAAAGATCAAACCCTTTCAAAAATGGTTAAGCTGGGAAAAAGGAAGTTTTCACATGGGTATCATTGGTCACATCCTGATGTAATACAATCACCCTTCGGTTTTTCTTTCGTTTTGCCATATTATTTATTTCAGAAAAATGGGAAACAATGGGGCATGTTCTAGCTCTTTCAAACTCTACCCAGAGTGGCAAGAGGCAGACACGCTGGCCCCACCTCAGTGTAAACCAGACTCTGTTGATGTTTGATTATTTGAAAGGAATGTTTCTTTGCACACTCTGGAGCCCCATCGGAAGGTTAAATTAGTGCTATCAACGATTATTTTAAAGATTAGTAAAGATGAGTGTACAAGGTCAGGGAGAGTATTTGGTTTTGGCTGGTGACTCCATTTCAGCCCCCCCTGGAGTTGTGATTTCATAAGAGAAGCACTAAGAGATATGGCAGGGGACATGGGACTGCATGTTATTGTTTTGTTCCTTACTGTTAGATTAACGCTTCCTTTCATAATTTGATTTTTCCCTGGAAAAAGTCATAGTTGTTATGGACAATAGTATAGCACTAGGGCTGCCAGTGCTAAGGAGTTAACACAGCTTATCTTTCCCAAAGGAAAACAGACTTTTCCAGACAAAAGTATGGCCCTGCTCCAATTCCTTTTGTGGCATTGTCTTTATTTTAATCTGATTAACCTTTGTTCTTTTTTAATAAATAAATTATTTTTCTGTCTCCCGCAAATGTTGACCTTTATTTCCATTGCTGAAAAGAAAGAAAAAGAAATTTGAGCGGCTTTTTTGTCGAAATCTGTCTTTGAGGGACAGCAGGGGGAACTGGGGTAATTCTGTAAACATGGGAATACAAACTAACTAGAGTATAAAGACAAAAGTCTTTACAGTGGAAGACGAAACAAAAATATGGAAGGTAATGTTGAATAAAATAGAGAAGAACAAAAATATAAAATACCTCTCTGGACTGCTGGAAATGTATCAGTGGAATGGATAACAGTGCATAAAAGTACAAGGCCAGATCCAGTGGCGCTATTCTGATTTATATACGCTGAGGATCTGGCCCGCGGACATTCAGGCCTTTATCTTAAAGCTCTCAGTGGCCTGAGCCCAGCATATCTAAAAGAACCTAAGGCTCCAGGATGAAGGCCATAGTCACCAATTCTGCACCTCTGGCACAATGGAACTTTTAAAACTTTATTTTTATATAAAATATAAGCATCTAATGAAATATATATAAATACATTCACAAAGTAGAAATAGCATATACATAATGAAGTACAATGTTCATTATTTGCAAAACCTGAAATAATCCCCCCCCCCCCACCAGTAAAGGTCATGCAAGACATTAATTATTAAAGTGACTAAATAGATCTATGTTCTCACTTATTGTCTACAAGTATAATGCTGCTTTCTACCATAAGGGTAAAGCTCATCTGGGCAGGAGACGGGGCTTTCTCAGGGGCTTGTTAGATATTGTGGAATGAACTCTGAAGCTAAGGACCATCACAAAACTTCCTGCTGCAAGATGCACTTCTCCAACCCGCCTTCTCTAATATAAGCACAGAGCAGTTAATCATAGGCATTGACTTTCCAGTGTGCCGGAGGGTGCTTGACCCCCAGATCTGCCCCAGGTCCTGCCCCCACCCATCTCTTCCTGCCCATTTTGCCCATCCCCCCAGCGTGCAGCACCCTCACTCCTCCACCTCCCTTCCAAAGCCTTCTGTATGCTGCAAAACAGCTGATCACGGCAGGCGGGGGGGGAGTGCGGGGAACCGGAGGAGGCGCCGATCAGCGAGGCTGATGGCGGGCGGCAAATACTGGGGGGCAGGGAGGGAGCTGATAGAGAGCCTGCCGGTGGGTGCTCAGCACCCACCATTTTTCCCTGTGGGTGCTCCAGCCCCAGAGAACCCACCAAGTCAGCACCTATGTAGTGAATAGATTTTGAAAAGCCACCTCAAAACCAAACCAAAATGCATTGATGTACACACACGTCTCCTCCAGAGGAGAGGATGAGGGAGAGAATGAATCACATATGACAGATATTAGTCACATTGCTTAATGCACTACTGGAAGGCGACCAGATACTACAATGCTGAGGGTGGTATTAGAGCCTATATAGAAGAAAATACTCTGTTCACGTTCTGATAACATAAAAAGGTTATATCAAATGAAAGAAAATGAACAAGAAGGACCCGAGAACTCTGATTCTGGCTTCAGAATGTAGAACACTGCAAGTCACTTGACTGTTCTACAGTGGCCAAGGTATTTGTCCATCATAATTAACCAAAGTGTAAGCGGTATAATAAACTTCTGCAGTGAAGGTGTACGGATGTGATTTTGATCTCAGCCTAATCTGGATTCTGACAGTTCTCTTGATGCCATCCAGCAGAGAAAAGCAAATTCTAGGACAATGCTACTGCTGCATTGTTGGTTTGCTTGTTGATTGAATGAAAAGATCTTCTTTAGCTGTTTCACCTGTGACGCCCTGAGAGCTATAACCACAGATGAGACTTTCTATATGTCTCTGGAAACCCCTAGTATAGTTTCAGATTGTGTTGCAAAATCTGAACCCAGTGAAGTCACTAGAGGGGCACCAGTAATAAAGAATACTTTGCTTTTCTAGGACCACATCCTTCAGTCGTTGCTTTGGATTGAAGTTGATGGCAATTTTGCATGAATAAAGGCTGCAAGATTTTAGCTGCGGATCTCAAAGCACTTTAGAAATATGAATCAAGTGGCATAGATAGGTATTATCTATACTGCAGTAGCACTTAAGGCTCTCCATTACGCTAAGCACTGTACATACATATGGTAAATGACTGTCTCTGGCCCAAAGGGCTCATGAGAATAGGAGACTGAAGCACAGAGAGGTTAAGTGACTTGCCCAAAGCCACACAGTTAGTTAGTGGCAGAGACATAAACAGAACCTAATTTAAATTCTGAAATTGAATATGTCCTCTTATGTAAAAGAACAGTGCTGATTCAGGAAAATCCAGTGCAGAGACAGCACATAGGAAGGTCAATTGACAAACCTTTGTCACATATGCACTACACACAACTTAAAATAATGTTGGAGCTTTAGATCAGAGCACTCTACTGTGAAATAAACTGCATATTGTTAGGGTAATACTGATTTGTATTGTTAAAATTGTCCTCATTGCATAGGGATGGTCTAAGGCAATTTTAACCCTCTCCTGTTTGCTTTGGCTGATGGTGAATTTCCCTAGATGAGCTATCCTAGATGTCCATACTTCTTACAGCCCAATCCTTGAATAATAATATAGAGGGAAAGAGAAATTAATTACCGTATAGTTGTGAAAAAGGAGAAATTCGATCTCTTCATTTGAGATTGGAAAATAGATATTGGGGACTGATTCATCTCTCACACCAGTATAATGCATTAAATTCAGTGGAGTCACTCCTGATTTAAACCAGTGTAAAAAGGGATAATGAGGGCCGAATTGTGCTGAGGTGGAGAGATACAGACAAGCTGTCTCAGATGCTGGGAGCTACAGAAGGAAGGCTCATCCACAGGGCCGGCTCTAGGATTTTTGCCGCCCCAAGCAAAAACAATTTTGGCCGCCCCCCCCTCCATTTTTTTCTTACCCCACCCCCGGCCCCGCCTCAACTCCGCCCCTTCCCCAAATCCCCAGCCCTGCCTCCTCCCCCCAGGCTCTCAAGCCTAGGAGGGAGAGGGAGAAGCAGCGCGTGCGCCGTGGCCGCTTGGGGTCTCCCTCTCCCTCCCAGGCTCTCAAACCTGGGAGGGAGGGGGGGGGAGACCCCGAGCGGCTGCGGCGCGCGAAACAGCCGAATCGCGGGCCCCCCCCCCACCGCCGCTCCCACCACCCCCTCCCTGC